TGTCCACCTGGAAAACTTCAGCCCCTAGTACCTTGGAGGGCTGCCATCTCCAGTGCACACTGGACTTTAGAAAGCAAAGACATCACAGAAAGGTCACCTCAGAGGTGACATCTGCATCATTTTCTGTCATCTTCGAAAAACGTTAGGAGGACCTGACTAGCTTGGCTCAGTTGGTTGAGTGTTGTTCTACAAAACGAAAGGTTGCTGGTTCGATTCCCAGTCAGGGGATATGACTGGGTTGCAGCCTGGTCCCTGGTTGGGGTATGGAGGAGAGGCAACACATCAATGTTTCCCTCACACTTCGAGGTTTCTGTCCCTCTGTCTCTCCCTTCCTTCATCTCTCTCTAAAAATAAATAAAATATATATTTTTAAATGTTGGGGGCCGTTTTGATATATAGAGACTTTCAGGAAAGATATCCAGTTCCTGCTTCATTCATTCACTGCCCCAACCGCAGCCCGTCCCCACCTCCAGTATCCTGAGCTGGCTGAGGCTGACTCAGACCCTTTCCTCGGACTCAGGGTAAACATCACACCTGCAGTCTGCCCAGAGGGAAGGCAAGACAGAGGACAGCAACACAGCAGGGCGGGGAAGCCCCTTGGCCCCCAGCCACACTAGAATGTGGTAAACAAGGTCTGTATTGCAATAGGGCACCTCTGCATAGAGGTAGGAATGCAGGGCAGGAGCTCAAGGCAAGAGACAAAGGGTGGGAGGGAATCAAGGAACTGTGAGGAAGAGGCTGGAAGAAGAGGTAGACAGGTGGGTGAAGGAAGGCAAGGCAACAGGAAGAAGGAGGGGAGAGTCCATGGGGCTGATGCTGTTCTCTCTCCAAGGCCACAGAGCAGGCAGCAGTTGGAGAGGTCAGAAGTCCAGGCACAGAGGCAGGCTGGGTTAGTCAGCAGCTTTGAAGCTGCCCAATGAACTTCAAGCGGGGCTCCCAGCACACTCCCTGTTACTGCCTCTGGGTATCCTGAGTGTGTCTGCCCCACTGAGCCCCTCAGAGCAGGTGCTCCGCTCCCCAACTCCAGCTTCTCAGAGGAGAAAACGCCAGGGCAGGGATATCCCTATTCAGACAGAAACTCCTTAAGGGCAGAGTGAAGCTGCCCCTCCCCTTTAAGGTTTCCTTGGGTCAGGGACTCTGGGAGTCAAGATCGTAAGTTACTGAGCACGTCACCTACTGCCTCATGAGACCCTCACAACACCAAGAGAGATGTGTTTCCCCACTTGACAGAAAACCAAAGTTCACAGAGAAGAAATAATTTGCCTAGGATGTATCTGAAGCCCGGTTGGTCACTTAGCAAACTTTATTGACCAGTTTCTACTCTTGGAACTGGGCGTGCACCAGTGACAGAGAGGCAGTCTCAACTCTCAGGGAGCATATAGTTTTAAAGGGGGAAATAGAAAATCCAGGAAACAGACAAATAAAAAGTTCAGCTAGTGATCAAGAAAGTACAAAGATAATAGGGGCAAGTAGGTGGCGTGCTACTCTGGCTGGGAAGTCAAGGGAGACCACTACAGAAGTGACAGCATGTCCAGTGGACCCCAGGGGAAGGCTGGCCACACAGAGGGAACACTGAACACAGTGGCTGGATGGAACGTCCTGCCCAGGGCCCAAGCTAGCAAGGATGGTTGGGGCCGAGAGTAGGAGAGGTGGACAGGGGCCAGATAACTCCAAACTTGGGGGCGAGCCTTGGGAATGAGGAAATTGGAAGCTATAAAGAAAGAGAGGAGGTGCGATGGAGGCAGGGAAGCAGGCAGGCGGCCGTTCCGCAGGCATCCACTTTAGAGATGATGGGGCCCAGAGCAGAGGAGAGGAAAGGAGGAAATGGACCAAGGGTGAGAGGGAGTAGGGGAGTGGAGGGTGTGGGCCTGAGCTGGGGAGGCCAGGGAGGGAGCAGAAATGAAGGGGAGGCAGAATTTGACCCTAAAATTTAAGCATTTTACCACCAACAGGTACTTTGTCTTTTTTTTCTTTGTCCCTCGTTGGCCAGGACAGTAGTGGGTACATTATAGATATTTGATCAACGCATTATGTGTTTAATGAATATTTCTTGAGCACCTACCAACGGCCTGGCTCTGTCCTAGGCACCAGGGATATACCAGTGAACATAGCAAAGTACTTGGCCTCTTGGTACTTACACTACAGAGAGAAAGAGGATGTGTGTGTGTGTGTGTGTGTGTGTGTGTGTGTGTGTGTGTTGATAAGGGGGGAGGAAAAGGGGGAAGTAACTCACTAAGGAGGGGGTTCTTTCAGATGTGGTGGTCACTGTAAGCTTCTCTGCCAAGGTGACATCTGAGCCCGAAACTCAAAGGAGTGAGGTGGTGAGTCTTAGATGTGACTACTTCAGGGAATACATTTTGGGCAGAGGAAGTGGCAAGTACAAAGGTCCAGAGGTGGGAGAGTGCTTGTTGCCTGACTAATAGATTTCGTCCTTATTGATTCATTAATCAGTACCTGTGTCCCTACTTTTAAACTCTCTAAGAACAACACTTAGATCCTTCTCATCAGACAAGAGTAATTCTAGGGGTGCTGTGTGGGCCACTTCCTCCCTTCTTCATGCTATTCCTCTTTTCTCAACCCTGACCCGGCCTAAAAGCAGGGGTGGGAGAAGGTCAGGTATTGACTGAATCTGTCATACAGTCTGGAGAAAAGCCAGAGAGAATCAAGGAACAGGGAAGGTTCTGTGCTGTAACAGGGGCCACCATTCACCCAATGTTTCTGGTTTTAACCCCTGGGGGCCCTGCCCTGTCATCCCACCCCTACCACCCATGCCACTGCTTGCCCCCCATGGCACTAGGAATTGCCTCCAGACAGTCCTGCTGAGTCCTGCCTCTTTCACTATCCCCTTAAGGCTTAGCAATACACTGAGGGAGTATTATGGATGCTGCCACATCCCACTCTACCCCAAACCCTGGGCACCATGGAGTTACCTAGGAGACTCTGGGATTCCAGAATGTGGGGGGCCAGCCCCGGAGACCAGCTCACAGACTTGATGTCTGCTCCTCAGCACAAACCATCCAGACTCCCAGTTGTGTCCTGGGCTTTCTTATGACCATAAAATGATTGGGACTGGACAGTCACTTCCTCCTTATTCCTAAGTCATTTCTGCCTCTTCAGCTATCTTGCTGACATGTTGCTCTAACTCCACTGATTCAAGACTTTCTATTCTTAGCAAGAAAGCAAACAGACAACATATTCCCAACATGCCTGACCAGACACAGAAATCTTAGAAGGTACAAGAACTTGACAGTTCTTTCTGATTTCAATTCCAGGCACCTCCCTCCTGGTCACAGGAAATGCTGCTGGACCCCGTAACCCAGAAGAGACCTTCCACAGAGCATTCTAGGGCTCTCTATAAAGGGACACCCACCAGGGCCAGGTCCCTCATTCCTGTGTCGGCCCCTTCTCTGAAGCCCAGGGTTGTGGAAGGAGGAATACCTGGCTTCTGAAACCCTTGCTTGCAGATAAGGCAGGTGGGGGCCATGGAGGGAAGGCAGCCAGCAAAGACAGGCTGGCTCTGCTGTCTCTGGCTAGCTAGCTCCCCTTTGCCTTACCTCTGTGATTCTCAAAACAGAGCCCCCTGACCTACAGCAGTAGCAGCCCCTTGTTAGAAATACATCAGGTGGGGCCTCACCCCAGATCTACTAGTTCAGAAATTCTGATGTGGGGTCCAGCAGTCTGAGTTTTAAAAAGCCCTTCAGGGTGATTCTGTCGTAAAATTGCCACAAGAACTCAGACCCAGACTGGTTCTGCAGGTTAAGTCCAGTCCTGGTTCTCCATTGGCTCAAATGTGGGAGGCTGAGGGGGAGGGGGTGGCATGGCTCTCTTGTGCCTGGGCCCTGAGGACTAGGTTAAAGGATTTTACAAGGTCTCTTTGGCAGTGATGGAATCAGATGCACGACTAACTGAGAAATGCACGGAAAATTGTAACTTTCCCCCTTTCTCACATGGCTCTTGGGAGTGAGTCGTTTTGAATACTCGGGTAAGGTCAGAGGGGAGCTGCCTGCCTGCCTGAGTGATCCAAATAATTTTATTTGCCCCATGTAACTAAGGAGAAAGGGGATCTTCTTTTACCTTAAGCAGGACGGCCCCTCCTTACCACCACGCACTTCCCTACAAACTGAGACTGGAGCGGAGGTTCTTAATTGAAAATTGCTGCCCTTGGGCCCTCCTGCCCACCCCCATTCCTTTCTGGTGTGGAGACGATGTACTGCCTCCTTGAGAACGCAGGCCCCATCAGAAGTCCAGGAAGAACAATGTCTTTAGTTTGGTCATAATTGCCTTTTTGATGGTCGCTTAGGAGGCCAGGAGTAGGGCAGATCTGTACACCCGCTTTTCGAGGGAGCAAAAACTGAAGCAAAAAACATTGCCCCAAAGGTTCCGTGCCATTCCCATTCACTGGGGGCCTAACCAAGACCCCGGCATTTCATAAATATTTCGCTATTAATCGTGACTCAGAGAGGTTAATCAAGAAGACCAAAGTCACCCAGCCGGTGGTGAAAGCAGAAGAGCCCAGACTCGTGCCCCCTCTCTCTACCGCCTCCAGACGCTCAAGCTGGGGCTGGAATCCGGTCCCTTCCACCGGCGCCATCCAGCCCTCGAGGAATCTGCCCCAGGGCAGGCGTCGTCTCCCAGGTTCAAAAGCAACAAAGTGATTCCCGGCCCGACGTCAGCCGGGTCAGCCCTCCCCCACCGCCAGTCCTCGGCCCTCCGACCCCGGTGGGACGGAGCGGGGCGGGGTGGGGTCCTGCCCCTGCGGGCGGAATCCTGGCACCTTCCCTCCGGACCCGGCCTTCCACCAGGTGTCTGCCCCTCCTACCCCCCCGCCCCCGGGGTGGGGGTGGGGGCTCCTCGGAGCTGCCCTGCTGACTCAGTGTAAACCGAGCCGCAGAGGGCAGCGGTGGGGCCCGCCCAGCGTGCCCCGGGTTGATCGCTGCTCTTTGAAAGCAGCCTCCCTCCCCGCCCTCCGGCCCGCCCTGCGGCCTCCCTGCTCCGCCCACGGGAAGAGGTCCTGGGACAGCGCTGGCATTCACAGTCGGCGCCGAGCGGCTGCAGGGAGCGAGCGGGAGTGGAGGACCTCGGTGCAGAATGACTGCCATAGCGGTGCAGGTAGCCCCGCGGCCCCCGACCGGGGGGAGGAAAGGGGCTGCGCCCCGCGCACCAGTTCCAGCCACGGGTGGTGGCTGGGAGGGTGGATGGGAGTGGTGCCCCGCGGTGCGGGCCCCCGGCAGCAAGCCCCCTACGAGGACCCTGGGCGGGAAGCGACGGGCGGGGGGCGGGGGGCGCCCGCGCCGGACAGTGCTCCTGGGGCTCGGTCCGCTTCGTGGCTCTGCCAGCCCCCGAGGCTCCCAAACTTCTTTTTCTGCTTCTCGTTGGAGTCACCAAGTGCCCATCGGTTAGGTTCACCAGAGAGGTCCCTCCTTTTTAAAAAGGAGGTGCGTCTGGGGTGGAGCATGGGTAGAATTCATTTGCAAAGTGAGGACTGACTCACGCGACCTGAGGATGCGTCTCTGGGGGAACCAGGACATTCCTTGGTGGAATGACCGTCTCCCCTTCCCCGAAATGCCTTTGGGATTCTGAGGCAGGGATGAACTCGCTGGGGCGTGCGGACGAAATAAAGTCTAGAGAGGGGAGCGACCGCATCACCTAAGTTTTGTTTTCTTGTTTGGGTGGTGCAAGATGTTTGTATTTGCCTGAGAATCCGCCCATTCCTACCCCCAACCTCGGAAGAGCGGCTGTCAGGAGGGAGGTCGGCAGGTGACTGGATTGCTACCCTGAGCGCGCGCGTTTGCTCGGCGCGCAAGCATCCCAGCGGCTGGTCGTCCCAGGGTCCGCCAACCGGGCTGTGCTATCAATTAGAGGTTCCGTGACTTTGAATGCAGGTACTCAGGCTCCCACAACACTGACTCAGGTGGATATCACTGTGCTCATTTTGAAGAAGAGGTAACTGAAATTTGCACCGTGGAAACATGTTCATACGGTAGCTAAGCAACAGAATCGAGATTCAAAACCAGGACTTATTGGCTCCAAATCTCACTCGTACTTTCTCACCTTTGCTTTCTTTCTCACCCGTACTTTCCCTGAGCAGTAAAACACAACCCACAGGCCATCCCCCAAACCCCTTCTAGCTGGGGACGGGAACACGATGTCTCAAGTTCCTCCTTTTTGTTCTGGGGCAGAGTCGAGTCAACCAGACAGCCTCCCGGGATAGGCCTGGGGAGGAAGGGGATAGACAGGCAGTGAGGAGGGGAAGACCAGGTTGTGATCTTTTCCTTTGAGAAGCTGATTGTCCTTTAGGAGAGAGACTGGTAAACAATGATTAAGAAGAGATATTGGGAAGTGAGCGCTAAATTAAGAAGTGCAAAGACTGCAGGAGGGATTGGAGGTGCTTTGTATTGGTCTAAGTGGGGCAGGAAGACTGGTAGCAAGAAGACCCAGACAGTGGTGGAGGAAGAAGGGGGAGGGGTGGGGAAATGAGGTAAAGCCCAGTAGCTCTTCTCTTAGGTAGGAGGACACAGGCTGCCCTGCCAAGGGGGGTGCTGCTGCTTAAGCGTGCTTAACCAAGGTGCCTGGAACTGTTCTAAGCACTTGGAGTGATGGTTCATTTCAGCCCCACAACCACCACAGGAGGTAGGTACTGTTATCTCCATTTGTAAGTGAGGAAAGAGACAGAGGATAAGCTAGCTCCTGGGACTGCATGACCAGCGTACTGGAGTGACTCAAGGGATGGTGGCAGTCCAACTCTTTAGGACAGTGGTATCCAACCTTTTGGGCACCAGGGACCAGTTTCATAGAAGACAAGTTTTCCAGGGGCATGGGTGGGGATTGGTTTGGGGATGATTCAAACGAATTTTATTCAAGCTCATTTGCTGTGCAGCTTGGTTCCTAACAAACCAGGAGGTGGGGGACCCCTGCTAGAAAGCTATTGAAATTTCCAGATTTCCAGCTAATGATGATGAGGGCCTAGGCACAGTGGGTAGTGAGGGTGGGGCGTGGGGGGAGTATGGGGGCCATGTTGGGGGTGGAGAGAATGAGTAGTGAGCAGCTCAAAGTGCCAACTTGGATTTTGAGGGGGGTAGATGGGGTACTCTGTTATAGAGGAAGATAAAATCTTGGCATGGGACTCAAAGGCCCAAGAGTGTCAAGTGACACTGTTCTCTGGGTCGGAAGAAATGCATTCGAGCTTACAGATGAAAAAAGGGAAATGTTTGTCTTGATTGCCCCTTTTTAGTGGAGACAGGCAAAGCTGTGAATTGCCCAAGGTCACACAACTGGGGGCTGGCAGGTCAAGGACAGATCTCAACTGCCCTTCCCTCCTCTTATCCACTGGACCCCCACTGACCAGGCTGCTTCTGGCTGTCCTTCAGGACAGTACTCCAGGCTCTGGATCACTCGTGCAGGTGCCCAAAAGCTAGATGGTTAGGAATGAAGACTCCAATATGCACTATTATTCTTCCTGATGTTAACAGCTCTGGTGATGTGCGAGCTGCTCAGGCGCTAAACTTTTATAAACCCGATCTCATTTAAGACCTGGGAGTTTTATCGGTCGTCAGAGCATTTGACAGAGCCCTGCTTTGTAGTGAAAGGAGGAAACGAACTGACATCAGCTGTCTTCTCTTTCTGATCCTGGTGTGATATTGGAGGACCTAAAGAGTAAAGTCCTGTCTGTGCTCAGGACAGGTGGGGCTGAGAGACGGACAGGACGTGCCTGTTCTTCAGAGAGTGTGATCTCTGAGGTCAGAAGGTTTCTGGGTCCCGTGTTTCTTGTCACTTGTTCTCTGCATCTAGGACTCTCCCATGCTAGGACCTTATCAACCTCTAGGATGCTGTCACTTTGCCAGGTGCCTTTATGGCTACTGCTTTTCTGCAAGAGTCACAACAAGGGCCAAAGAGGTTAAGAAATTACCCAAGGACAAACGCCTTTAATGGCTTGTAGACACAGAGGTTTCAAAGTTTCCTAGGTTTGTTTGTTAGCAGTAGAGCCATTTTTTCTCCTTTCCTGTACAGACTCCTGGATTCCCACTGCCTCCAGCAGGTAACAGGGATCTGCTGGCATTGGAGTGGGCAAGGGGCCCAGAGCCAGCTTCCCCTGCCTGCTGCCCTGCCTCAGCACCTGGAAGTCCCCCTAGGAAACAAAGGAGCAGTTCGAGAACTGCAGCCCAGACTCCTGCCTGGGTGCTCTTCCCAGTGCCCAGGACTGCCTTCGTCTCTAGATCTGAGTGAGGTCCCGACTCCTCTGTACCTCTAATCCTTTTCTTCACCAGTAATATTGAACCTCTAACACCGAGACCCTGTGCTTGGAGGGCTGCAGTTGGTGTTTAATGGCTGAATGCATCTCATCCTCTCCACAATATGCAGTTGCCTGGGTAGCTGTAACAGGCTTTATTGTGATTTTAGGAGAGTGATCTTGGGCAAGTCTCCTGATCTCCGTATAAGTTTTCCTTTTAGCATAACCACCGCCCCCACCATGGAGCTTCCTACTGTACGAACCTCAGGTTTGAGAGTAAAATAGTACCTATGCAGGAGCACAAAGACCAAATGAGGTCCTTATTCATGTATCCCTGGGACTGAATTAGCAGTAGCTCCTGCTTACCTCTGCAAGTTAGCAGCCAGCCTTGTTCTTGCTGGGACTCTCACCGCAGGACTGTCTCAGGAACGTGGCTTTGCTTTGCGTCCGTCACTGAGAGGTGTGCCCTGGTCTTGCCTCCATTTGCACCTGGTATATTCCCTAGTCCCATCAAGCTTCCCAGCATTGCTTTCATGCATGAGCAGCTGTCTTGTTTTGCTTACCTCCCCACATTGTGTGGAAGCTGTGTTGCTTCCACATACACTAGCTAGAAGACTTCAGTTTAAAGGGAGCTTCAAATGAAAGTGACAGTTGTTGCAAACTTGACCGTGCATTTTCTATCCCATGGCTCTTTTTGCACACCCATTGAATGCCCAGGTCAAACACTGTGTCAGGCGCTGGGAACACAGCCGTATCTTGACAGGAGGCCCTGTGCACAGTCTCTGAGTGAGATAGATAATAATGTATAATACAAATCAGAAGGGAATAGATAACATGATCAGAACAGTGAAGAAAACGGGTACCTGATGGAAAATGACATGAGGGGACCCAGTTTGTGTTGCATAGGTAGAAAGGATGAGACATCTCTGACATTTCAGCTGAGACATGAAGAATGGAGAAAAGGGGCAACCTGGAGAAGAGCCTTTCAGGTGGAGGGGCCAATGGGTCTGAGGAAAGAAAGTTGTAGGCTTGTCCTAAGTATGGAAAGATGGCTGCTGCATCTGTGTGAGGTGGCCAGGGAGAACGCCCAGGGGGGGTGAAGTTGGAGAAGGAGACAGAGTGGGTCTACAGCACTTGAGCATTGGATAAGAAGTTTTATTCTGAGGTGTTTTTGTTTTCTGCGCCGGTGTTTGGGAATCGTGCCTGGGTGGTATCTGAGTGCTGTGAAATAAGGGATACTTCCCTGAACACCTGGCTCAGCTTTCCAGAAGAAAGGGGGCCAGGACTGAAACCAGAGGCTAAAGAAGAGCCTCAGTGGCTCCCCACCCCTCCCATCAAGAAGCTGCTAGAACAGAAAGTCTGGTTGCCATGTTCTAGGAGGAGCTGAGCATGACCAAAGGGCAAGGTGCAAACATCCCTGTCGGTACTGAGGAAAACAAGTTAATAAAACAGAGGCCTGGACAGAATGTGGACAGCGCAGAACCAGCTGGGTGGGGATTAGGAGACAAATGGACTTGTACTGGGAAGTTCTAGGGAGAGAGGGAAACAACCATGTATTATGTTCCAGTGATTTTTACAACCCTCACAGCCTTCCAGGCATTTTTCTGGTTTTGCTTATAAAGAAACCCAGGCTGGCTGCAAGCTCAGGGTCACACTAGCCAGGCTAGACAGGTTTTCTGAATTCAGAAGGGCCTAGTATTTGCCAGTGAGTAGGATTTGGATTTCTCACTGATGAAGATAATTGGAGAAAAGTCAGGGAACCCTTCAGGCCTGGTGAGTAACTTCACAAGCGATGTTTATAGGTCTTGAATGGAGAACAGGGAATGGGTAGAATGGAGGGAGGGTTCCCCAAAGAAGATGGGTCTGTGCTGACAGGGAAGGAGGAGCTGGAGGGGAAGCTGTGAGTAAAGGCCGTATTCCAGGCTTTGGGGGAGACCAGAGCAGAAACCATGGCTGTGGGAAGGTAGAAGGCATGTTTAGGGTCTTCCCTCCATAAGTTGGAGAGGGTGTGGTGGGACCGTTTCTGACATGCCACCTCCATGATGTCTTCCAGGCCCAGAGACTGCTGAGCCAAAGGAGGCCCCACTGGTCCTTCTTTGAATCCTTCATCCGGACTCTCATCATCGTGTGTGCTGCCCTGGCCGTGGTCCTGTCCTCTGTCTCCATCTGTGATGGTCACTGGCTTCTGGCTGAGGACCGCCTCTTTGGACTATGGCACTTCTGTACCAACTCCAACCAGACTGGGACACACTGCCTCAGAGACCTGAGTCAGGCTGGCATACCAGGGCTGGCTGTGGGCATGGTCCTGGTCCGCAGCATGGGTGCCTTGGCTGTGGTGACCGCCATTTTTGGCGTGGAGCTCCTCATGGTGTCCCAGGTGTGTGAGGACCTCCACTCACTGCGCAAGTGGGCCCTGGGCTCCATCCTCCTCCTCATCTCATTTGTCCTCTCCTCTGGGGGGCTCCTGAGCTTTGTGATCCTCCTCAGGAACCATGCCACGCTCATCGGCTTCACCCTGATGTTCTGGTGCCAGTTCACTGCCTCCTTCCTCCTATTCTTGAATGCCATCAGCGGCCTTCACGTCAACAGCATCACCCACCCCTGGGACCAGCTAAGGAAACTTTAAGACCCTCTCTCCAAGGACATCTGGTTCCATAAGAAAGTGTGGTCAAGATGGAACTTTTCTAACATGTGACCTCTGGTGGGGGTGGGAGTGTGACCTTGAAACACTGCTTACCCAATAACCTTTGGATGGTCGGCCAGAAATGGCCCAGGGGCCTTTTTCCAGGGCCAGAGGCCAGGAGGATGCCTTAGTTTCACCACCCTCACAGGTTTAGCCAAGTTATTAGGTTGTACAATAGATTGTAGAGCACATTTTAAAACCCTTTTCTTGAATCCTTCTTCCCAGGACAGAAGTAGATTTGGAAGTAGCTCTGGTAACTGGTACCTGGACTGGCTGCACAGCCAAGTGCCATTCACACTTGTTTTATGGCTCCCATGTTTGCAAAGGGTGGATCATTTTCCAGCTAAGGATATCCCATCAGTGCTTAGGACTGTCTTCTACCAACTCAAAGGAACTGTGTTCATGCTTCCCTGCTTTAGCATTGGTTACACCAAGGAGGAAGAGTGCAGGATTCCCTCAGAATGTCTTGTACATGGTAGGTTTTCAAACATGTTACTTGATGTGACCCCTGTCATTTGGGGAACCCCATAATCCCTGCCTAGGCCCATCTTCCAACAGCCGGTTGTCTGCTCTGGGCGGGGGGGTCTGCCTCTGGGAATCCTGCCTGAAGTCTTTGAGAAGTTTTGGAGTAAGTATTCCAGAAAAGCCCATCTGATTCTAATGCACAGCCCTCCCCAGGGCGAGTATGTGTGTCCATCTTTGGTGAGGATCAGACAGCCTCAGGGTACCAGTGTTGATCCTACATACATTCAAAGAGCACCTGTCTGGACCTGCTAGACCTTGGGTGATGATTAACAAACATCCTAAAGATGAGTGCAGGTGAAGGCAGCCAGGAACCAGTGAAGATTTCATCCTTGCCAGCAGATCGGTGTTTTTGTGCATTAAATCACCCCCTTTCCAGTCCCTTTTTGCCCTCAGCCCGTTTTATTCCACACTAGCCCTTTCCTGCTCCCAGACCTAATGAATTCTGGCCTTCCCTGGCTGCCACTGATAGTATGAGTTTTTGGTCACTGCGGTTCCCTTCCTGGGCTGGGTGCCTATATCTACCTCTTGTGGTTTTTTTCTTAAACTTTTATTCCAAAATGCACAGTCTATGGAGATGGTTCAAGAGAGGTGTGGACCAATTGGTGTTCAGAGAGCAGAGCTCATAAACCATATAGGCCAGGTCCTTACCCTTGGACCTGAGCACTTGGCCTTTTCACCAGGAGCAGCCTACAAGGGGCAAAGGGGGACCTCCTTGTCTCTGCAGGGGGAGTTGCAAAGGTGGGGAGCCAGAGCCCAGAGAGGGATGGCGCTCATCCAGGGCCTCCCAAGGCCAGGACTCAAGGTGGACCCACTCACCAGCAAGATGCTCTTTCCTCCACAGTGGGGGCTGAGGGGAGCAGCGGCCTTCTCCAGTCTCCAGGATGTGTTTGCTTGAATCCCAAGTCCTTTAATCCTCACAAGGTTGGTGGGGAGGAAGTGTTGGTATTCAAGGGAATTGAGGTTCAGAGTAGAAAGGGTGAGACTAAAATCCCCAATGGGATGGGGAGACAGGCCCTGGTAAAACAGACAGACTGGGAGCATGGGGATTTGAAATAACTAAAAGGCTGGACTGGACTTCTGCAACTTCCTTGCCCAGTTGTTTGAGCAAGTCACAGGGCCTTGGTGAACCTGATGCTCTCTTATCAAATGGCATCAGGCCCCATCTCCTGCTGTACCTGCCTTGAGGGCTGTGGGTAACTGACCAAAAAGGCAGTTACAACAGAGGGATGCCTCAGACCGTTCCAGGGTCGCTAAGAGGGAGCTGGGCACCCTGGGGCTCTCCTGGCCTCCACTGGGATTGATTGGATTCAGCAGTTGTCTTGAAGGCCCTAAAGTGAGAGCTGCCGGAAAGCTGAATTGCAGTGAGGGGTGGGGAGGGTCCTTGATTTCTCCAGTTTCCTGGACTTATACGTTTGTCCCTAAAATTGGAGCAGAGGACCAGAAAAGCCATTCCCCCTCCAGGAAGGGGTAGGTGAGCATCCCCCCTCACCTGTGTCTCAAAAGACTGAAAAACACAGACCAAATCTCATCCCAGTTACCATTTATCTTCCTCCTAAGCCCCCTGAACTGCTCTTTCCCCCATCCCCCTACAGTGTCCCAAGTTTCTTCTGTTGAGTTCTGAGGAAGTCTCACCGTCCAACCCAAGGCCTGGAGGAAAGGTTATTAGTCACAGGGAAAAGCATATGTCTGTGAGGAAGACGGACTGTCCCGAAGCAGTGTCCTGCCCTCTCGGGACTCAGCTTGACATATGTCCATGGCTGACCCTGTTCCAGCCTCTCAGATGACGCTGGCCCTGCAGGTGCCTGGACTTGGCTCCGAGGGGCTGGCCTTGGTGCTGTGGGTGTGGCTGATGGTGCCGCTGCTAAAGGAGTTGCCGAGGGCCAAGGGGCACAGTGGGAACTCGGGCAGGCGCCACTCCCGCCACTTCTTCTGAATCTCCAGCTGTACCTGGCCCCAGAGACCAGCCATCAGCCCGGGAACAACACGAAGCACCTGGGGCCCAGAGCCCTGCTCACTACCCTGGTGCCCCTGCACAAGCCCTGCCGCTCTGGCCCAGTAGTCATGCCTTCCTTTCTGCAGGCCACTCGGACTGACCAATTCTAGCCCTGAGGTCCAGTAGGTGGAGCCCCATCTCTGAGTGCATTCACCTGCACTCTCTCAACGTAGGTCCTGAAGAAGGGGTTTGTGATTACACAAACTCCAGAGCTCCAAAATCCAGGGGAAAACTAGATACAGTCCTGGGAAGCCACCCTAGCTCAGAAGTAATCAGAGGATCGGGGAGCCGCTCTTTGGAAATTTCCTCCATGAATGCTAGCTGTAGCAGCAAAACTTTGGAGGCTAGGTTTGATGGCTCATTTTTGGAAAACATCAGAAGTTGCTGTTCAAGTGTGGCAAAGCAGGTAGATGGGCAGCCATCACAGAAAGGCTTTACTTATGTGCCCGCTGTGTTCAACTAGTGGTTACACAGCTTTGGTGTGCCAGGAACCTCATGTTCTGACCCAAATGGTGGGCAAGGGCAGAGGCCTCAGAGTAAGTGCAGCCCCCAAAGGAGTCTGCTTTTGGGGGGTTCTCTGAGTTGGCAGAAAAGTCATCTGAGTTACTCATTTTACAGATGGGAATGCTGAGGCCCAGAGATGGGCAGTGACAGAGCAGCCGTTCAGCAAGCAGAGAGCAGTCGGGAGCTGGGTTCAAGTTGGGGTACACATACTTTCCTCCATTTCCTGACCTCGAGGACAGGAATCACCTGGAGTGCTTGTTAGAAGCATTCACGGGCTCCAACCCAAACCATTTTTGCTGAATTAGAAATTGCAGGTAGGGCCCAGCAATTGTTTTACCAAGCCCTCCAAGTGAGCTCCTGTAAAGTGAGCTCAGACTCCTAGAAGACAGGTCCAAGTCAGGATGCCCCGGCCTCCCCTGCCCACACCCTACCACACTTCCCAGGTAGCTCCCTCTGAACCCGAAACCAGTGGCTGGGAAGCTCCTCCAGGGATTAGGGCAACCCAAGTACACTCACCTCCCCATTGAGGAAGCAGTAGAGGACAGCCACCACCAGGCCCTGCGGAGGGAGGGGCGGGGTTAGTGCAGGTGCTCCAGCACCAGCCTCCCTCCTGCAACTTCCTCCCAGGGCTTTAATCACCGGCCCCAGGCTCACTCCCCCCTGCCCCCAGGAAGTGTCCCAGAGCCTTCTCACACCTCACCTCAGGAGGGATGGGGGCTGCCCCTTCTGAGCCCCACAGTGTCCCTGGCTGTGCGGGCATCATCCAGCACAGCCAGCTCTTAGGGGGCAAGGACAGGGTCCCATTCGTTTCTTGTCCCCAGTGTCTCGTAGGCCTAGCACACATGTGGTGTCGGTAACATTCAAGTAAGGGCTGCTAACTAGTGCTGTGGGGAAGGCAAGTCACCTGAATTAGTTAAGTGGGCCATCCAGAAGCAGGGGGTGCTGGCACCTGAAGCAACACTCGCCCCCCACATTTGGGGCCAGTCCTTGTGAGACCCTGAGCCCTAAGTGAGCTCATTTCAAGATAAGCTGGACATTTTACCCGGAACCGACATCTTCCAATAATTCAACAAAATGATTAATGGGGAAGAGGAGGAGCACCCATTATATATATGTTCTCTGGGCCTTTTAGAGAACATGGAGCTTTTCCTCTGGCCACAGACATGCAAACCTACAGGAAAGGTGGTATTGCAGGCATGGGGACAAGGGCACTGATCAAAAAGGAATGCCCCATGACTGTTCCCACGGCAACAATACAGGAGTCTACAGTGTTACCCAGCAAGAGGTAAACATTGAGGTGAACGAACGAACTAAGGGCAAGATTCCTGCCAAGAGAATTAATGTACCTATTGAGCACGTTAAGCATTCTAAGAGCTGAGATAGCTTCCTGAAATGCGTGAAAGAAAATGATCAGAAAATAGAAGGAAACAATCCTGGATTGAACTGAAGCACCAGCCTGCTCCACCCAGAGCAGCACACTTGGTAGGAAGCAGTGCAAAGGAGCCTGGGCTGCTGGAGCCCGTTCCCTGTGAATTCATGGTGAGGTGAGTATGAAAAAAACAGAAGACCTCTGTACTGATAAAAATGTTTCTCTTAATTGAATAGAAGGCTGGTATCCCCTTCCCCAGGGAAATATTTAAAGAAAAGAAAAGATAAACTGAAATCTGAAGATATTTAAACATGGACAACTATTCAAAGTGAAAAATAAACATGAGACTGTGTGGTCAGAACAAAGCCTGTGTGCACATCCTGGCCAGCCAGCAGTGGGTGTGACCTCCCTGCTTAACAGGCAGGTGAGTGAGTGCATCTCCCTGGTCCAGGGCCTCGTGGCTGTATCTGCTTTATGTTCCCTGGCATGGTGGGGGTCTGTGCCTATCAGGACCCTCCCTCCCTGGTACCTGGAGCTCCTTTTTTCCCCCTGGTGTCCCCTGGGATCGCAGCATGGAGCTCTGCCTGGGTAGGGATTACAGGGTGGGATGCAGGATTTGAGACTAAGAGGCCTGCACAGAATTGTGAGCTGTGAGCAAGGTCTCTGCAGTGCAGATACCCTACTCACTTCCTCAGGGACCCACCTCCGTCCAGCCTGCTCTTCCTTACAAATATAGGTCCTGTCCAGAGGCCTAGGTGTCACAGCTCTGACCTCAGTGGCCCAACCCCTCTTCCCTAGTGCCGTCCAGGCCTCCCCTTAGCTAGCTAATACATTGGAAAGGACCCAAAGGGAAATAAAGCAGCCTATCTATAGAGGCTTAAAATGACTGCTTAAGGGCATTGGCATTTAACAAGGCTTAGTGACAAAACTAGGAGGACTTGCTTTAGAATTTCAGGCATCAATGAATGCTGCCTAGAATGCAGTGTTGGGAGCCACCCTGCCTGGTTGCAGGAGCTGTAACCCACCCATGGCTAAGGCTGAGTGAGTGACCTTCAGACCATAAGCCACTGAGGAGACAAAGCTTATCTCCCTGGCAGGAGCACCGCTTCTGCTCCTTCATCTATAACTGGCCCCCAATGCTTGATCAAGTTAGCCAATGATCGGTAAGATTCCCCAAGGGGGGATGACCTAAGACAGGCATGATCACGTGGAGGCCCCAGGGAACGACTTGGGGGGCTATGGAGAAAGGGGGTAATGGACCCTCGCCCCTCAGCTTTGATAAAGCCTGAGTCCTCAGTCTGTCTGCAAAAGTCTCCTAATTCCTTGGCTATCTGCCTCCTCTGCCTGAATTAAGCCCGAAAATAATGACAGAGAATGGTGCAGCCCTTTGCTGGAAAGGGTGGGCTCCCCAGGTGATCAGGCCTGAGAAAAGATATGTAAAATCCTGTGAAGCCTGCTTTGCTAAGGATGCTCTTAGTTAAATGATAAAGGCCCGATCAGGAAATGCGTTTCCCAAAGTTTTATAGCTGATAGACCCGGACTTAGAAGAAGCCATAATAGTTCTTTGTATGCTATCTATCGTTTGATCCTTACTGCCTGACAATGATTAATAAGTTGTACCTGAACTCCTGCACAAAAAATAAATAAATAAATAAAAGCCTGTCTAGGCAAGGGTGTACAGCGCTCTCCCCTTGAGAGAGTGGCCTGCCCCTTTTTCTCCACAGGACTCGGTAGTCTGTGTGAATTTGCCTCAAAGCCCATCCCTAATGCCACGTACACTGCAGGCTGGTGAATGTGTCAGCGGGGGAGCTGCACACTTACTCAAAGCAGTGGTTTCCAAATTTTGCTGCACATTAGAACCACCTGGGAGCTTTGCCCAATTTCACTCTGTGCCCCAAATCTGAATGTCTGGAAGTAGGAACATCAGCAGTTTTGAAAGATCCCCAGGAGGTTGGAGTGGGCATCCCTTATTAGGAACCACTATTAGAGGGTGTGAAAGGAAGGCTTTGAAATAAAAACTTTGGGCATAGCCTGGCCTGCATATCTGCGGGCTTCTGGGTCCCAGATGCTTCATCTAATCCTTGCCAAATCTCTAGGCAGGCGGGAGAAGCCCCTTCACAGGTGAGTGAACTGTGTCACAGGGGTGTAGGCTGCACTTGGGCTGTGTGTACTTGGTTTGGAGCTGAAGGTCAGGCTGCCAGCAAATGCTGCTGCCCATCTCACTGGGCCTGGGGTTGCCTGGCCTCACTCATCTGGGTCTCAAGGATCCAGGGACACGTTTTCACTATTTAGGCCAGGGTGGGGGCCCTGGGTGAGGGGCAGTTCAATGTGCTCCAGTATATATAAGGCAGGTCTCACACAACCCACAACTTAAAAATCCTACAGTGGCATGGGAAATTGTTCATGGGGGCGCGGGGCATGATAGAGAATTAAACAAACAGGAAACAAAACCACATGTCATGATCCTGATTCCATCTGGATCCATTCCAGGTAGAAAAGACACGGAAGTAAACACACCAACATCTTAACAAAGGTTATTTCTGGGTTCTGAGATTATTAATGAATTTTTCTCTCTTGACTTTTTCTTATTTCCAAATTTCCTTCAATAGGCAAGTTTTATTTCTACAATTAGAAAGAGCTCAGCTTTAAAAAATATATGACAGAAGTAATGATTCTGTGGTTCTGTGTGTGTTTTTTAAGCCCATCTTTTGAAAACACACAGTAAAATATTTGCATTTGAAATAAAACGATGTCTTGGGTTTGCTGAAAATGATGCAGGTGGGTGGCTGGAGGAAGGGGGTGGTGATGGAGGTGAGACAGGAGGGCTCAGTAATGGCTCTGCAGGGGGTTCACTATTCTCTTCCCTTTTGTATATGGAAGAAATTGTCCATAATACACATTTTTAAAATAAATGTTACACATAAATGCATAATATATATAAAATGATATGTTTGTATATGAACAAAGGTTCTTTTTTTAAAAAACTCTTAAATAGCCTTTTCCTTTGTAAACGTTTCTAGGGGAGCATTAAGAAAGTGCTCTTGGTTTCCTCTCGACGAGCCATTTCCCCAGAGGAAAGTCCAACAGCCCGGCCCTTCGGCAGGGTGGGCCACAGCCCGGCTCCAGGGTGTCATGAGTCCCCATCCATGCCAGCAGGCGGTCCCAGGTCTCCACACTCTCAGAGACGGCCCTGCCTCTGCTGTGGGCTGCGTCAAGGCCTTCAGTCCTTGTGGGCCTGGAATCCCCCATCTGCTAAATGGACCGCTTGTGAGCCCAGTCCCCCCATATATTACAAGAGCAGTGGGCACAACAGCTTCCTGGCTGAGGAAAAGAACCACAGATTTCACAAGGGCTGGTTTCCAGGTGGTCTGAGGTGCTGCCAGGGGCTCTGGGCAGAAGAGAGGCTCAGAGGGAGGACTGCCTTGGGGTGGGGTCTGCAGGCAGGAGTCAGGTTCGTGACAAAAGCATGACCCTGGTCAGGCTCACCCTGAACAGAACTCTGAGAACGAGGGAGGCCCAGGCCAGCCCAGTGAGCAGGGCTCTGCAGGGTGATCGACCTCCTTGAGGACACACTGGCTTCTTTAGGAAAACCCACTGGGAAAATTTCTCTCGGGCCCCAGTGCCTATCACCACTAGGCCTGTCCTGGCCTCTATAGCTTGTCTCATCCACGGACACTGTCACTCTGGAGACGAGCTGTGTCTCTGTGGCTGCGGGAAAGCTCCAAACCCAATGTATGACCCCTCTCTCCCAACCTTCATCAAAGTTGCTTCTATGTATGAATTCTTTTGGCTTTCTTTTCTTTTGTCACTAGTCCCTCATCTACTTATTTTCTGTCCTCTGTACGTTTTTCCTGAAAGCTACATCACATTATTTTTGGAAAGAAATAACCTTCAGAAGTTTGGGAGCCCCTTCTGTCCAAGCGTGTTTATCTTTTTTCTAAACCTCAAAACATCTTGTTGAATTAGTAGGCAGGTGACTTCTCCATTCACTTTGTTTCCTTTTAAGTTGATTTTTATTTTTAATGAGCTGTGTATGCACATGGTTCCAAAGAGTCAAATGATTCTTGTCACAAAAAAAAACACCCCAGCAGCCTCTGGACACCCCACCCCCACTTCCTGTTCCTCAGAGGCAACTGCTTGGAACTCGTACGGATTCTAAATAATGCTAATGTTGCAACTTCTGAAGTTTTCAGTTTGACTAATTTTTATGGACTTCCCAGTAGGAATATGAGGCTGTTATTCTTTCAAAAACCCTCCCCAACTGCTCATCTTCCTGCCCCACTTTTTGATGGCTCAGCCACAGCCCTGAGGGCTTACATTCCTAGAGCTGTGTAGATGCCTTTGAGAGTTGCACAGTACAACAGCAAGGGAGGGTTCCTTTTCCCTTTCGTTTTCCCTGGAATCCGTCTGTCTCTCTTCAGTCTGACCTCCCACCCCATCTGACGGGTGGGGAACTTGGGTTCCCCTCAGGGTCAGGGCACAATGAGGTCCTGCCCCTCTGCTTCTCACGGGTCTCTGCCAAATGAGGCATCCACGCTCCCAAAACGCACTGCTGAACTCTTCCGGCAAGATCTAGCTTGCTGTCGGTATGGCCTATAGGTTTCTCCAAGGACACAGGGAACTTCTATTTGACCTTAAAGACACAGTCCCTGAAACTTACCTGGAATGAGCCAAGAGCCAGTTCAAAAAACAGCTGGATCTCCATGGCATCATCTGGTGAAAAGGCAAAGATGATGTAGTGGGCGCCGAAGAGAGGGATCAGCAGGAGGGTGGACTTGGCCAGACGCCTGGGGACACAAGAGACATGCCGCAGCCTTCTGCCCCTTTCCCAACCTGTGCGCACTCAGTTTCCCACACCCAGCTTGCCTGTTTGCCGGGGGCTTGGCAGCAGTGTCCCCAAAGTTTTTTGTTTTTACTTTTTATTTTAGAAAATTTTTAATTCTCATATACTCATCACTGAGATACATTTATTAACTCATGGCCAGTCCCAAAACTTTCTGATTGGGTACCCCTAAGTAAAAAAATATGAACATGGCCCCACTCAAATATTTATTCATAAATTATGTGCACATATGACTGTAACTCTAGGTCTAATGTATTATTGGCAAAGCCAGCATTCTTATTTGTTTGGTAAGAAGGAGTTGTTTTTTCATTTTCTTCCCAGGTTAGATTTACCAAATTTAGCAACTAAAAATACAGGATGCCTGGTTTAATTTGAATTTCAGATAAACAATGGACTTTGCGGGCATGTAACTACTAAAAAAACCAATTTATTATTTATCCAAAATTAAAGATGAACTGGGCAGCCTGTATTTTATCTGGCAATTTTATCCTGTGTGCCCAGCTCCACCCTATTACAGAGACCACTGCCCTAAAGGCATCCTAAGGAATCTGCTGCTAGAGTCTTAAAACCCTGAAAATCCCAGAGAAAGCCTCTGTGAGACACCGGTTCACCTTTAATTTCTGTTATGGGGTGAATTGTCCCCACCCCAATTCACGAGTTGAAGCTCTAACCAGCAGGACCTGAGAATGTGACTGTGTTCTTGGATGGGACCTACAAAGAGGTGATTAAGTCAAGGTGAGTAATGTGGGTTTAGTCCAACTGGTGTCCTTCTTTCTCGGGAGGAGCACCAGGGGTGGAAGCCCAGAGGAAGGCCCTGTGAGGACACAGCTGGAAGGCAGCAGTCTGCAGGCCAAGGAGAGAGTCCTCAGCTAAACCGAACCTGCCGACACTCTCATCTTGGACTTCCAGCCACTAGAACTGTGTGGAAATTAATACCCCTTATTCAAGCCACTCAGTCTGGTATTTTGTTACAGTGGCCTGGACGAAGGAACACGGAATCTCTCTGTAACACTGTAACAGGGTACAGCCCAGAGGGGGCGCCAAATCGGGATTTGGAATGAGGTCCAGAACTCAAGGTATCTAGGAAGTATTAGAAAGATATATAGGATGTCCTCAATCCTCCCAACCACGGGTCTGTTCTGTAACAGTTTTTGGCAACTCTGGTTGGGAGATAATTGCCTGTGGCAGACCGACCCCCTCGGGTGTGGGAAATGAGACTTTCGGATTTTCCCAGTCTCCAGGAATTTCTCTGCACCCCTCCTGAGGGCATCGGCCACCTCATCGCACCTGGGAAGATGAAAAGGAAATGAAATAGGGAATGGGGTGGAGAAGTTAAATGGTTTGGTTGAAAACTTGTTTCTGAACACTTCTGGAATAATGGAGCTACGGATAATGGAGTTTGGTTAGTATGCTGCTTCCAGGCTGCCCTGGTCTGCTCACTTACAGTTTTGGTGCCCGGGTGGCACTAAGAGAACCTGTGCTCGGGTTTGGGGAGGAAGCAAACCCTTAGGCTCTATAACCCAAGCCTGCATGTATGTTGGGGATTGGGCAGCAAGCCACGTGGAGGTGCTGCCATTCGGGCAAAATGGAGGATGAGCCATGTGAATGCCCCACCATGGAGGACAGGTCAGGCACGCGCGTTGCCATCTTGTATGACCCAGTGTTCATCTGCACTGCCATCTTGGATGATGGGTCACCTGAGAGTTCTGCCACCTTGGAACTGGGCAAGGTGGTGGGCTAATGGTTCTCTTCAGATTATGGGCTGTGTTTTGCTGCTGTGTGGGCACTGCACCAGTCAGGTTCTCTATGCAACTGGTTCTGAAGGTCACGAGCTGGGCTCCACAGGTGACCATCTGATTTATAGGGTGTTTACAAGTTCTAAGCTTCAGAAAGCTGCAGGATGTCCCTGCAAATCTAGAGACTTTTAGTGGACAGTATCTACAGTGCTAGAGACTTTTGGCTGCCAGATACTGAGTTTAAGTACTGAGTTTAAATATAGTCCTTCCCAGTGTAGGAAAGGATTAAAAGTGAATTATGGTTAAATCTGGATGGGTAAAAATATGTATAAAGGAGACTTCCGCCAAGATGGAGGGGTAGGTGGAAGCACTGCGCCTTCTCACACAACCAAGTTTAAAAACAACAAAGTTTTAGCAATAAAAATGCAGCCAAACCACAGAAAATTGAACTACACGGAAGTCTGACAACTACGAACCCTTCAGCCAAACTGATAAGAGGGGCAGAGCCAGCAGCAGAGCAGGGTCGGGCAGGAAAGATCCACTGGACCGACCAGGGCATGTGACCCAGGTACACCAGCAGCTGTGGGCAGATCCCAAGTGTGGAGAAGCGGGCAGACCCACTGAGGGTGCAAGACAGTGGACCCACTGAGGGCTGATCGCAGTCACACATTCACGCACACATAAACCGGTGAAGAAGTTAGCAGTGAGACAGACCGTGCAGGCCCCAGCAGCAGGAAGCAGCAGAGGGAACCACCATTGTCCCTCTCTGACCCCGCCCCCACTTACAGCATCACAAACCAGCAACCTGGGTGACCCCACCCTGGTGAACAACTAAGGCTCCACTCCTCATATGTAACAGGCACAAACAGATCAAAACATGGCTCAAGAACAACTCACAGCCCCAGAGCCGATAAATCTTCAACAAAGAAATAGCCAAACTTTCAGATGCACAGTTCAAAACACTGGTGATCAGGATGCTCACAGAACTGGTTGATTTTAGTAATAAATTAGAAGAACATATGGAAGCTAAACTGATTGAAATGAAGGGAAATACACAGGAAACCAATAGTAATGGAAAGGAAACTGGGACTCAAATCAAAGGAGTGGACCAGAAGGAGGGAAAAAAATGACCAAACAGAAAAGAGTGAAGAAGCAAGAATTCAAAAAAATGAGGAGAGGCTTAGGAACCTCCAGGACATCTTTAAATGCTCCAACATCCGAATTATAGGGGTACCAGAAGGGGAACAGGAACAGCCACGAGTGGAAAACTTATTTGAACAAATAATAAAAGAGAACTTCCCCATTCTGGCAAAGGAAATAGACTTCCAGGAAATCCAGGAAGCTCAGAGTCCCAAAGAAGTTGGACCCAAGAAGGAACACACCAAGGTACATCATAATTACATTACCCAAGATTAAAATGAAAGAGAGAATCCTAGAAGCAGCAAGAGATAAGGGGACAGTCACCTACAAAGGAGTTCCCATCAGACTGTCAGCTGATTTCTCAAAAGAGACCTTACAGGCAAGAAGGAGCTGGAAAGAAGTATTCCAAGTCATGAAATCCAAAGACCTACAACCAAGATTGCTGTATCCAGCAAAACTTTCATTTAGAATGGAAGGGCAGATAAAGTGCTTCTCAGATAAGATCAAATTCAAGGAGTTCATCATCACCAAGCCCTTATTATATGAAATGTTAAAGGGACTTACCTAAGAAAAAGAAGATAAAAAATATGAACAGTGGAAGGACAGCAAACTCACAGTTACTAAGAACCACGCCTAAAACAAAAGCAAACTAAGAGGACAGCTAGATCAGGAGCAGAACCATAGAAACGAAGATCACATGGAGTGTTAGCAACAGGGGAATGGGAGAAGGAGAAGGGGGGGAGAAGGTACAGAAAATAAGTGGCATAGATGGTAGGTAGAAAATAGACAGGGGGATGGCAAGAATAGTATGGGAAATATAGAATCTAAAGAACTTGAGGCACGTGGTCATAAACTAAAGGGGGGGAATGGTGGGGGGTATACAGGGTGGAGGGGACTGAAGGGGGGAAATAGAACAACTGTAATGGCATAATTAATAAAATATATTTAAAAAATTAAAAGCAGGACTCACAGTAGTCCCTGTAATAACAATAAAGGTGATCTTAAGGAGAAAAAATGTGGTTCAAGGAAGATCATGATGCTCAGTATTGGACATGGGAATGGCACAGCTAACTGTCTTAAAAGTTTGTTTTCATTTGAAAGTTTAAACTGGGTTTATAATATCACTGAAAAAACACAATTTACAGGTGCAAAGGATCTGTCAAATTGCCACTGTTAGATGTCATTGTAGAAAGGACCCTGCAACTGGATGTCTTCCCAAAAGGCAGTCTCACAGGCACAGAGACTGGTTTGGGGATTGTTGTATAAATTAACCTGTGTGTTCTTCTGTCTTCACAGGGCATATGCCTATGACCTCATTACCTGAGTGACTGGTTGCAATGTAGGCCTCACTGAAGGAGCCCATCTTCATCATCGCCCCCCTGAGACTCAGCGGTTTGGCTGGACTAAGTGGTTGGGTTGGTGAAGGGTTCGGGTGGTCTGTGGGCTTCACTTTAGAACTGATTTTCCCTTTTCTGTCTTGATGGCTTGGACATAAAGGGCCCAGAAATCTGAAAGGAGGGAAGTCCTAATATATTTCCTTCAGCCCGAGTGAAGTATAATAGGCCACGAGAGTTTTAGATGTCTTGTAAACCTTCCTCCAGATAAGCCATTCTTTACTTAAGTTCCTGCCTTGGTCATTTAGTGGTTATGATTTAATTGTGCTTCCAACTCTCTTTCCAAATACGTCACCTCCAGAATACAACTAGGATGCCAACGGTCCGGTAATGCCAGCCTTTGGACACCAAGCCTGCGACTTCCTGGTGACAGCCAACTGACCGGGATTCTGTAACGTCTTTCCCCTTACAGGAAGGACTCCTCCTGTGCCACACCCCCCTTTCAGGGCACCCCTGACCCAAGAGTAGGTAGGATGACGTCCATGTCTAGCCGGAAGTGGTTACAAGAAGATGAGACCTTTGTCCTTTGTCCTTTATATGATTATAAAGGGGTTGTATATCTGAAAGAAGGGACTGTAACAGGGTGTAGCCCGGGGGGGGGGGCCAAATAGGGATTTGGAATGGGGTCCAAAACTCAAGGTGTCCAGGAAATATTAGAAAGATATATAGGATGTCCTCACTCCTTCCCCCACCCCTACAGGTGTGAATTGGGGGAAGGGACACATAGAGCAGGAACATGCAGAGCTGTTTCGTACAGCAACAGCTTTTCAGCTAACCTCTGGCATGGTCATTTAACATATCTATAGCCTTTAACTGGTTTCATAGATATGTTAAATAGCTGTGGCCATGCCTTGAGCCAGGGTGATGGAAGTGACTTCCACCCAAGATGTAACTGGGGACAGCTCCCCCTGGTAAGAGCACCTGCATGAGAGCTTGGAGAAGATTGGCTCCATGCATGGGGACACACCTGCCCAGACTCACTATGACAGCCCAGTAAAGCTGGAAGAATACAGGAATGCTGGCAGGTGAAACTGATTGTAGGAGGAGTCAGAAATGGGGCTACAGGTGAAGATTGGTACAGGGATTTAAACCCAGATGTGGCAGCCATTGGAGAGAGAACCATGTGGCTTTGGCAGAGTGGGGACTCCCTCAGCTTTGGTGAGAGAGGACCATGCAGCTTTGGGGTACTCCCTTTGCCACGTGGCTTAGGAAGCAGGAGAGACTTTGCCTGGAAGAAAAGGGGTGAAAGGACTCTTGCTGGTGGGCCATGAGAAGGTGCCACATGGATTTGGATTAACTGGAGATCTCGGCAGCAACACAGCTGATGGTGCCAGGAGCCTGAATCAAGGACTTCTGCTTCTTTTCCTGAGATACGGTACCCCAGATTAGGGCTGTGTTTGTCTGTGGGTATCCTAAAGGACTTTGATATTTTGATGAAGATGTTAGGTCACTACTCTTAAGTCTATATAGCTTTAAATAAACATTTTCTTTCCTTTTCACAAATGTCTGGCATTGAGAGATGTCTTTACTCTGGCAGTGGGCATAGCGAACCTAGTAGGGGTTCCTTTCGGTAATAGTATATCGTACACCCACCTTGGCCCTGTTCGGTAACAACATCTTAAAGGTTTTAAAGTATTTTTGGACCACACACCTTAAAAATTTGATGATCTCTGCCTCCTGAATCCCCGCTGAGATTTCCTATCTCCTCACCCTCAGAGCAGTGTCTCAGGTTTCCCAACAGACCCACGCCCCTGCCCCCATTTATACTATTATATTGAATATAGACTCCTTGGAAATAGGTCGGGGTTTTCTCTTCTCTGTCTCCAGTAGTGCCTAACAACAGCTGGGTAAACAGCTCTTGCTCAGTAAATGTGTGCTGACTGAACATGCCTGAGTCTTTGCCCTCCACTTACTTGTAATGGTTTACTTCATTTCCTCCTGTTTCTTGGGTTCTAAGTTTTCTCATCAGGATTCTTAGAATGTTTATAAAAAGGATGAAATTAATCTGTAAAACACAAGGCAGGGTGCGTGTTACAGGTGACTTGCATTCCCACCTCCTCCCCTGGCCCTGGCCCTGCCCCAGGGCCTGAGGGCAGAGAAGGTACTGCAGACCACACCCAGGATACGCCCCAAAATGGCACATCACTGCTTCCCCACTTCACCTGCCTGCCCCCCACCTCCTTGTCCCAATCAAACAAACTGTCTGGAGGCCATGGTGGCACAGCACTCCTCCTAGGCCTGGTCTGCAGGGGCTCTAAGGTCCACTCAGCCTCAGCACCAGTACTCACACTTGAAGAGCACTGGAATCCTCTGGGGATCTTCTTAAAATGCAGGTCTGGGTGGGCCTGAGGTTCTGCGTTTCTAACCAACTCCCAGGAATGCTAAAGCTGGTTCCTGGACTACACTTTGAGTAGAACCTTTACAGAGAGGCTCTCAAAGTTTACAGAACAGATTGCTGCATGCTCTCCCAGCATCTAGGGCGGGGCCCAAGAATTTGAATTTTATATTCTCCCAGGTGATGCTGAAGCTACTGGTCTAGGGATCACACAGAACCGTTCCAGTGGCAGCCCAACCACCAGCACCAGGAAGCCATCCTTGATTACCTTCCTTTCCTAATTCCTTGTAGTTAGGGACCGTGTTACTGCATAAGAGCACTGGAAATATTTGAGAGGGGCCAAATACATGCATCTGTCAAATCTGTATGTTTGTCCACTTATCTGCCAATTCAATCATAACTTCCTAAAGGACAGGAATGGAGTCTCTTCACTTTTTTTTGGTGTCCCCTCCTCCTCCATCCCCAGTGCCAGAATGTTATGAAGTTGTACACAGGGTGGTATCTCTCCTCCCCACTCACCTGCCAACCCCAGAACCATTTACAGAGAAGGGATGAGTGGAATCACCCAGCCAGGCACCCTCTTTGTTCACATAAGTAGCCTGGGGCCTGGGGACACTTGCCAAAAGACACAGGATTAGGGTACTGCTGCTTTGGGAACACTGCTTCTCAGATTATTAGGCATCTTGCTCTGAGCTAGCTGTGCATGGAGTAAAGTAATAAAGGCTATTTCATTTTATCTTATTTTTTGCCTTAGCAAGCACTTCTAGGCAAAAGGAAAAAACAATCTTAAGATCCTAAGAATAAGACAGAAATACTGGCATTCTAGGCCATGTGACAGTCTGGCAGGGAGAGGTTTTGCAGCAGGAGTGGCCACCCAGCATCCCTCTATCACCACAGACCACAGTCACATGAAATCAGCCTGGACACTGACTCTGGTTGTCCCTCAGCTGGGGCTCTGCCCAGCGGAGTTGTCAGAGTCCCAGAACTACAGAAAGGAAACTGGTTTAACTAAATGAGGAGACACTCTCCTGTGGGAATAGCATATAACCATAACACATCGGTCGGTCAAATAACTTCAAAGGACATGGGAGAGCTCACATCTATTGCTAAGTGAGAAAATGAACAAAGTAGGATACAAACCATACTATACATTAAAAAAAAGTATGTGTGCTCAAGATGAAAAAGGTAGGAAGGAAAACACATGTACTCACATGTGTATCCAAAGTACTAAAAGGTGACTTAATTCCCTTTTAAAAATATATGTGTGTCTTCTAATTCTTTTACACAAATTTTATTATTTTTGAAAAAGAAGAAGGTCATGAGATGGCCACCTCCTCCCAGCTGGCCCCAGGAGGTCACTGAGTCAGCCGGTGGGAGAGGAGAAGTCTGCTACCCCATCCTGTGCCCTCTCCTTGCTCCCACAAGGCCACGGAAGGCACTTTCTGTCAACTGGTCCTGCAGCCTTGGAGTCCCTTTGAGCCCTGTGTGCAGTGCAGGGGCTGATTCGGTCCATGAGACAACCCCACTGTGTCCCTCGTGTGTCTTCCTTCCTCTGTCCCCCATAGTCTTATCCACATCCATAGGCTCAGCAGAAGCACCTGGGAACTTAAGACGAGTTAAGACGAGTGCTCAGGCCAAAGATCACAGCCTCACTCAGCTTTCCCCAGCCATAACCCACCTGTCCCTCCAGGATCCCGGCTCATGATTCTTCCCAGTTTAACAAGAGGATACTTGTAAAATAACTAAGACCCCAAAATCTAAACCAGTAGAGGTGGAATTAAAGCCAACAGAGCTAGCCAATTTAGTGCAAAGAGCTCTGCTCACCACATTTCAGAACCTAGTCATGGACAAATGTAAGTGACATAGGCTCTTGCACCTCCTGCCTGTTCCTGACCCCACTCCCATCCACCATTCTCTAGGGGTGGAATTTCTAGCCCCTCATACTGCTGGTCAACCTCTGGAAGCTCTGAGGTTTATTCATCCCATGCCTGGAGCGGGGGATGGCGCTAGTCCTGTCTCCTCTGTCCCTATAGGCCAGTCACTGTCCGGTCTCTTTCACTGGAGCCCAGCTCAGGGGAGGATGGCCACTTACCAGGATGGAGAGGATCACAGGCCCTCGAATGACCCACCAGATAGATGCATTGGCATTGATGTCCCAGCACCTATGGAGGGACAGCCAGGCACCGTTAGGAGTGGGGAGCTGAGCTGACCAGAGAAGACTCATTCCCTGAGGTGCCCTTCAGATGAAGGACCCATGCTGTGGTCCTGACCCCTGTGGCTGTGTGCTTATTGCACTTAGAACCAACCCTCTCCTGCTGCCCAGGAGCACAGCTGCGCTGAGGGAGCAGCGCCTCGTCTCCAGCCATGCCTGGTGTCTGGGGGAGCAGACGTGTGTGGAACCCGAAAGCCAGAGCCTTCAGATCTCAAAGCTAACAAAGTGGCAAACTCAACACTAGCCAGGCAGGTGACATCCATGAGTGAAGAGGCTGGGTGATTGACATGTGACCTCAGGACCCCAGTGACATCAGGCCTGGGGGATACTTGGCAAATTGGAGAGCATGTGTCTAGTCCAAAGCAGCTGTGACTGTTTCAGCTTGTTTTGCCACAAAATAAAATGGAAAATATTGATAAAACTTTCAATTTTTCTAAAGAAGCTGAAAATCCACATTTTTTAAAAAGTTAATTTACCCAATTAAAAGAATTATTTTAAAACACTTATTTGGGGTTAATTTTGGACAGCAAGACACTTATCAGGCTCATGAACCTAGTCCACTTCCTGGCCTGGTTGTGTCATTCTGGCAAAGAGAACCAGACCCCTGCTTTGTCATGCTGCCTCACTTCCTCCTTGGCTTCTCTCAAGCTTTCTTTCCAGGCACCTACACACAGAAGACCCCCTGGGCTCACCTCCCACCCCAGCACCTCAAATCTCTAGAGAACAAGACAGATCTCTTTGTCCTCAGCAGGAATTGTTGAGGATGTGGCTGCCATCCTCCAGGCCTGGCTCTGCAAGGCTCTCAGACACCTAGGTGCAGTAGGAAGGTGGGAAGAAGAAAAGCCAGGAAGCAGGAAAAGCTGGTCAGCAACTTTAGAGCTTCATCACTGAGCAGCACCTTCCTGGGGTTACAAAGCTCTTGTCTGGCACCTAACTAGCCACATAGCTGCCAGGGCGGGCAGGCAGGCAGGGAGGGAGGCCCACGAGGATGCAAGTGTGGTGAGGACCTCAGCCCATCTGCAAATTCACACCCTTGGAGAGCTGGGCACTCAGAAGGCTAGCACTCCAGAGAATCCTCCTGTGGCCCTCAGTTTGAGAAACAGGCCTCTCCTAGATTATTCCAAAGAAGTGTTTATCCTGTTTAAAGAATTATACAATATAAAATACACTTTTATCATCTCTCCTTCAAACAGCTTACCCAACATCTTCCAGAAAGTGCCTGGCGATAGCCCATGAAGCAACAAAAATGGCTGGGGAACCTGAGGATTAAAAATAAAGGGAGGGGCAGAAGAGAGAGGACTCAATTTTCCATACCATTATGAGGAACAGGACATTCAGGTACCCCAGCCCAGGTAGGGAGCAAAGTCCATATAGACTGCCTTGTAAATAAATCTTGCATATATATGTAGCCTTATGCTTCAAGGGAACCAGGGAAGTCTTGGAACTGAGGCAGGATCAAATGGATCCTGAAGACCACTAGGGACTCAAGGTCTCCTAGGAGCCTGAGCCAGACTCTGGACGACCTCTGCAGAGAAGAGAAGGGGTGAAGTGACAATCTACACTGTGCTGTCCAGGGCCGTGGTCGCTCACCACATGTGGCTACTGAGTACTTGCTATGTGGCTGGTGGCAGGAGAGATGTGCCGGAAGGGCAAGACAGATACCAGATTTTGATGATCTAGTACAAAGAAAAAAAAGTAAAATATGCTATTGACAATGTAAAAATATGTAAATATGCTAATTTTTATTACTTATATTTTCAAATGGTAATATTCTGGTTATATTGGGTTCAATAAAACATTAAAATTAATTCATGTATTTCTTTTTACTGTGTTTACTGTGGCTACTACAAAATTTAATGCTCCGTGTGTGGCTCAGATGCTGTTTCTAATGGACATGCTCATCTATATGTCGAATGGTAGGCACCCCACCCTTAGGCTGCTCAGTTTTCAGACCTTTGGTAGCCAGGTTTCTACCCTTGCTCCAGCTATCCCCCCTTTACCCCAGGCAGGAGATTAAAGGGTTCTTTTCTGGAGGAACCAAATGGCCTGAAATAAAGGGCCTATAGATAGCAATGTACTTATTTAAAATGAGGTCATATTTAGAAGAATGCTAGGCATATTGGGACCCTAACTCAATATGACTGGCATCCTTATAAGAAGGCCACAAGAGACACAGAGAAAGAGGGACATATAGGAAAGAAGGCCACATAAAGATGGAGGCAGAAATTGAAGTAGTGCGGCTACAAGCCACAGAGCACCAAGGACTGCCAGCAACCACCAGAAGCTCGGAGAGAGGGCTGGAGCATATTGTCCCTCAGAGGCCTCAGAAGGAAGCAACCCTGCCAAAACCTCGGGTTTTGAACCTCTGGCCTCCAGAACTGTGAGGGAATGAATTTCTGTTGTTTTAAGCCACCAAGTGTGTGGCGGTTTGGTACAATATTTGGAAAATAGCACTGGAGGGTTTTGCAGTTCTGCTAGAGAATTTGGGAGAATTAATATGACAGTATAAAACAAATAAGCAAATTAAAAATAACTCCATGAAAAATGAATAGTTAAATATTGGAATATCATTGTATACTACTTGACTTAGTAATAAACAATATTTACATAGATAAAATGATGTACACATTGAATATGACTTAACCAAAAACTGTTAAAAATTCTAATGGTAGGATAGAGGTGGTAGTTGGAGAATTTTTTATATCCTTACCTTTCATCATCCAGAGTCAATAAATAATGCCTTAGATGGCTAAATCAAGAAATAGAAGAATATTGTTTACAAGCGTGAGGGTACATTACAAGAGGAACAGTTATGAAGTTGAAGAGTTAACACTCTGCTCTGGGAAGCAGAGGTGGGGGCAGGAGATTGCTTTATTTTATTATGGGTCTTGTAGTCCTATTTAATTCTTTAAAGCAAGAACATGCATAACTTTGATAAAATAGCAATTTCAAAATATGTCCTGCCTCAGTTTGAGGGGCTTTGGGCAAAGGATATGGATTTTGAGGGCTATCTGTTCATTGTCTTCCCCCTTTAACAGAGACATGGTGGGAAAGTGAAAAACTGATAATGGCTTCTTGAATCAGGGTTCTCAGTGAATCCCCAGCAATGCAGGGATTCCTTCAGGCCTTGTTAGAAATGCAGAGCCGCAGGCTCCACCCCCGGCCCACTGGCTCAGAGACTGGAGGTGGGACCCAGCCAACTAGGTGTGACACTGTGGGGGAGGAAGAAATTTTCCTCTACTCTTCTTGGTTCTTCCAGCTGGTCTAATAATCAAATCTACATGAGCCAGATTAACAAGAGAAAATACCAAATTTAATTACATACATACAGAAACCCCACATACATGAAAGATTCAGAGATACCACACACATAAGAGGTTCAGTGACAGAAAGGAAAAATGAGGTACATGTGGCAGTCAGAGACAAAGATGGGTAAGGTGCCTTGGGGCATCAGAGGGAAGTTCAGTGAGGGATGACAAGAGCAGATGTTCAGTAATTAAAAGTTTGCCCTACCCTATAGGTAAGTCATTAAAATTTTTTTCTGATAATAATGCCAACTATGGGCAAAGCCCCAGATTGGTGTTTAAAGAGAGCTACACTTTCTGGTGAGCCCACAGGACCTTGAATGCTTTCGGCTCAAAATAATCTACATGCCAAAGTGGCACATGTTGGGGAGGCCTGTTCTGAACCCTTTCAACATGCTCCCACACAGTTTTGATGCAGATCCCAGCTGGAGAAGGAACTTTAGTTCACTGCTGAGTGGGAGCTTGTTCATGCCCATAAAAGCCAGAGCTTGTTCATGTACATAAAAACCCTTCTCTGGGTACAAACTGACACCCCAGCCATCTTGTAAACGCTTTGCATAAGCACTAAAAACGTAGAAGTGTTCATTCCTTCTGACTCGGTGATCTCACTTCTAGAATTCAATATTGCACTTGGAATAAACTTTGCCCATGAAAGTATTCATCATTGTGTTATTTATAATGGTGAAATATTAGAGAAAACGTAAATGTCCAAATAATAGGTATTTAATACATGTGGCTGAAACATTTATGGAAGGCTTGAAGGAACATAGAGCATGCTTGTGAGTTAACAGAAAGAAGCAAGATTCAAAATTCTGCATATGAGCCCTGGCTGGTGTAGCTCAGTGGATTGAGCGCAGGCCTGCGAACCACACGATCGTGGTTCGATTCCCAGTCAGGGCACATGCCTGGGTTGCAGGCCAGTTCCCTGCAGGCCAGTTCCCAGCAGGGGATGCACAAAAGGCAACCATACATTGATGTTTCTCTCTCTCTCTCCTTCCCCCCTTCCCCTCTAAAGATAAATAAATAAAATCTTTTAAAAAATTCTGCATATGGAATGACCATAACTATGTGGAGAAGATTGGGAGTAGGAAGAGCGATCTGGAAGAAAACCCATGGGGATCCAAGGTGGTGGCAGAATAAGTTAAAACTACACTAACCTCCTCCCAGGGCCAAATGGAATTACAACTAAATTATAGAAAAATCACCCGAATAGCCAGCTGAACACTAACTGGAGAGATGCCTTATCACCAAGCACATATAGAAGAAACCACAAGTCTGGTAGAGAGTGAGGAGGAGGCATGAGAGGGCTGGCTGAGCTCCCACAGCAGCAGCTGAAGTTCCACAGGAATATGTCAGCAGCCAAAAAGTTCCCGCTGACAACGGTGGGCTCTAAACCCCAAGATGGTCCCCAGCCTGTAGCACTAGAACTGGGAAAAGAACTTAAATAACATCTGGCTGTGAAAAGCAGCAAGGCTTTTGTCCACCAGGGAGAGATGGCTAACCAACACACAAAATTTCATTTGCAGCACTTTCCCTGGGCTCTGGCAGAAGGAGGGCAGAGTGAAGTAAATATGTGTGAGGAGAGTCTGGGTTGATGGCTCTGGGAAGAAAGCTGAAGGGATAGCTGCTAGGATCCTTATGCTGAGTTATCCCCATACTGCAAAAGCCATCCTTCTCGGGCAGAGCACTCCCCTCCAAGCGGCGTCAGCCCAAGGGGAAGCAATAGCTCCACCAGTAGGAATCTTTCTTGCCCCACCCTGTGAGGCTTAAGCTGGGCTTCAGAGGAGTACAGCTGGAGGCAATTTCAGTGTTTAAGCTCAACACAAAGCCTCCAGGCAAAGACAGATCTCTGGGAGCTCTGAGGCTTTAGCTGACCATCCCTCAGAACTGGTGCTGGTAAAAGCTGGCCTTGGTGTACAGCCTGGTTCTTTCTGCATACACCCAGGCCCAGCAGAGAGAGCCACAAGCTGTTAGCTCCAAACAGCTTGCCCAGGGCCAGTCACAGGCAGTGTCTGACATAGGTTTGAACCAGACTTTTAGCCATCACCCCAATACTTAGAAACAAACACAAAGAGGCAGCCAAAATGGGAAGACAGGCCAAAATGAAAGAATGAGAGAACGCTCCTGAATAAGAACCAAATAAAATGGAGACAAGCAATTTATCAGATACAAAGTTTACATAAATGATTATAAGGATACTCAATATCATGAAAAGAGAAACCATAAAAAGGACGAGTCAGATATAATAATGTAATATCTGAAATAAATACACTGGAAGGAATAAATAGTAGGTTAGATAAAGCAGAGGATTGAATCAGTGATTTAGAAGACAAGGTAAGAAAAAAAAAACCCCAAGCAGAACAGCAAAAAGAAAAACATTTTTTTAAATGATGAGGGCTACACCTGGCTGGTGTAGCTCAGTGGATTGAGCAAGGGCCTGCGAACCAAAAGATTGCGGTTCAATTCCCAGTCGGGGCACATGCCTGGGTTGCAGGCCAGTTGCCAGCAGGGGACGAATGAGAGGCAACCATACATTGATATTTCTCTCCCTGGCACAGGTTGCTCAATTACTGGGCCACACAGTAGGAAAGTGTATTTCTTATCTGTGCCATTTCACTTCCCTTTCTTTACCTCTAAAGATAAATAAATAAAAATTTTTAAAAATGATGAGCATTTACCTTTGGCACAACATGAAGCATTACAACATCCATGTTGTGGGAAGTCCAGAGGAACAGAGTGAGCAAGGGATCAAGAACCTATTTAAAGAAATAGTGACTGAAAACGTCCCTGATCTGATGAAGGAAATAGACACATAAGTCCAGGAAGCACTGAGAGTCCCAAACAAAATGAACTCAAAGAGGCTTACACAGAGACACACCATAATTAAAATGACAAGGCTTAAAGACAAGGAGAGAATCTTAAAAGCCACAAGAGAAAAGCAGGTAGTCATCTAC